GAAAAAAATAATTTTGAACACCCAAAAAAAAAAAAAAAAAAAAAAAAAACATACATGTATTATAGAGCAGCTTACCAATTCTTACATGCGGCGGCTACATTACTATTCTTTTTTAGGCTTTTATTCCTATATTTCTACCTGGTATTCCTGCAAATAACAGAATTACTGGGTGGCTATACTTACTACTCTACACTATATCTATTAAGGAAGCCATAGCTGCCGATGCCATCCAGGCTGGACTACAACTATGTCTGTCTTTGTTCAGCTCCATTACATGGAAAATGTTGGGGGTAGGGATGTCCCAATACCATTTTTTTAAGGCCGAGTACAAGTACTTTCCCTCAGGTACCCGCCGATACCAATTACCGATACTTTTTCTTAAAGGGGCATGTGACATTTTTTTCTACAACAATACAGACTAATGATTTTAGGGCAGTATCTCACCAAGGCGGCGTGCAGATCTCACCAGGACAGGCAGGTGCTGGGCTGAACGGGCGGGTGCTGGCCCAAAAGGTGGGTGGTGAGCTGAATGGATGGGTGCCGGTCTTGTGCTGGGTCTGTATGTGCGGTGTGGCGCTGTCCAGTGCTGTGCCTGCGCCGAGGAAGAGGAGGAGAAGATGTGGGACCGGACAGGTACTGTCAAAGACAGCTACTGCCAGGTCCCCAGCAGGCTGCCTGAGGTCCCAGCAAGTGTGGGACCTCAGGCAGCCGATCCAGTTTAAAAATGTAAAGGGCCGGTATCAACCTTTAGTATCGGGGCATACTAAAATGCCCGATATCGGGACATCCCTAGTTAGGGGGTTTAAATATTTACACAATTGTTTCTGCTTCCAGGTTAGTTAACAGAAAGTGATAAGTACACTGCATTTCTGGCATAATTAACTGGTATTTTCTGCTTGTTTAAAATGCAACTACCACATCTAAGGGCTGGTAAGCTGCAATATATTACATATTTTCTAGGGTTTAATTATTCTAACTACCTTAGTCCAAGACCCACCGCTTAAAAAGAACCAGTCAGGAATGTTGTTATTACTTGTATTCTCTCTATCAAATTAGAATGTCAGTGTCAGCTTATGGCCCTTGTGGTATTTGATCTGTCTTCTGCCAGGTCACAGTACAGATAGTGAACAATCTGCCCGGGCTGGTTGAGGGGGTTGAAACTGTGAATTAAATGTCTGGGCTTGTTAAGGAGGGTGAAACTGTCAACTGTCAAGTAAACTCTAATAATAAACTTTTCATTCCTTTCTTCCCTTAGATTTGTTGAATAAACCACTGAAAGGATTTTTTAACATCTGTTTGATAGGTGCAATAAATACCTGTCAATCCTGCAGAAATCCAATGAGCCACTAATTCCCCGTGTACTCTGCCTCTACTGCACTGAAATCCTAACACTCCCCTATGTTATGAAAGACGGGAAGAGTCCAAAACACACTTCCTGTCCTAGGATAACAATGCTCCTGTGCTACAGATACAGTAGAGTGAGTGAGCGTTGTCACACTAGGACAGGAAGTGTTTTACTGGTAGGATCATCAGGTAAAAATAAAGGAAATAAAGCCTAAATAAAAGAACAAATAATGCAGCCATTACATCTAAAAGACCAGTGAGCTGCAATATATTAACCAGTTGACATCCGCGGTGTTAAACCCCCTTCCCATCTACGCGCGAGCAGGAAAAAAATGGCCAGACGGCAACCCGCAGATAGGAGTCAGCCGTCCGTCCGTTTTTTCTTAACGGGCGGACGGCAAGAGGTTAAATATTTGCTCTTGGTTGTAGATACACTGTCTGTTCTTTCCGCAGGAATCCCCAGCCACAGGCTAATGTCCTGTGTGTATGAGGCCTTAATGTTCATTTGGAATTTGATCAAATTCCAAATGAACATTAAGTAGCCAAAAAAAACTATTTACCCAAACAAACTTCAGAGAGCCTTGGGTTTACCATATTGCCCATGCTAGTAAAAGCTGCAATTAGCATTATTACATGTGTCCCCCCTATCTATGTGTCCAGCATCCTATAGATCCCTCATGCCCTAAGAAAAAAAAACTTCAACTTTGCAATACAATACACTCCCTGAGAATATGCAACAGCATCAGCTAATGTGCCCCCACCTACCTCTTTCTGCTTTCTCAGGAAATCCCCTATTTATCCCAGGCTGGGACTCACTTGGCCTTTTCAAGTAGTATTACCAACAGAGCTTCTTCTCATTACCACTACCCTCAAATATTTAAAACCCTTAAAAGAATCTCATTATATTATGAAGAATGCGATCCTGAGGTACCTAGGAACAAAACATTAGGCTACCTCCACCAAATTCGAGGGTATCTGATCAGGACCAACACTTGCAAGATATTGGTTATCTACCCTAAGTTGCTCATTTCTAGTTGTCCTGCTCCCTCCCCTCAAATATACTCTCAAGTGGGAAGCGGACATTAGATAAACATTGACAAGAGAGGATTAGCTAGGCTTTTGGCACAGCACAGCTGCCTTTGCATATACAAAAAGGCTCTAGTCATAAATTCTGCTAAATGCATTTATTAGCAAACGTCTAAGGGCCTGTGTCAATAGGCTTTGGGCTTGTGTCTATGGCAACAGTATGAGGAGCTTCTGAGATCATAGAGATTTTATTGAGAGGTGCATTTAACCTGTTGTTGACCTTTTGATCTGCTTCAAGCAGTTTTTGCATTCACATAGACTTGTATGGAAATGTAAAACCTGCTGAAGTGAACAAAAGCCCATCGACACAGACCCTAATGGTTTCAACGGTTTCAGTCTGTCTCATTGTGCATGTAGAATATATATTTATTGTGTCAATCTATTTTTAAAAAATTAAAAAGGAGTGTGTGTGTGTGGGGGGTGTAAAAACAGAGATCACCAGCACTCTGTGGAAAGAAGCATTCAATTATTTTGCTTATTTATTGAAGAAACATGTCACAAGCGTCAATTTGCCAACGTTCCAGGGCCACGCAGGATTCCTTCTTCAAGGCAACATAGTGACAATTGCTCAATGTTGCTTAGCTTCACATTTATTTTGCAAATGACATTTGACACTGGAACAAAATATTCCTGAATAATTTAAGCTGCTTCTGCCATTCATAACCCCCCCTCCCCCCCCATCCAACCGGCTTTCTCAATTTAGAATTGAGAAAGCCGGTTGGATGACCAGTGAAACGTCTTCAAGAAAAAATACAGCAAGTCCAGTTGCCTTGACTTATTTGTTATACAGATATGCCTTTTTTTAAGGCCCAAGCATATATAATTTTATGTTCTTACTAAACTATCACTTAACACGTTATCACTATTTTGAATACTCCCTTTTAATCTTTCCAGACACAAATGTACACAAAATTGGTGATACTTCATGCTACACAGACTAACCTGGGGTGAAATGGTTTATCTTCATACGGCAGTTGGCTTTCAGATACTGCACCTAAAGAATATTTACCATAAAACATGCTTTTAGGATACTGTGCAGAACCACATTAACCTTTAAATAATGCAGATCATGGTTAGATGCAATTTACTCTGTACAGTGAAACGGTCTTCAAAAAGTGTATGATTAGCTCGGTAGCAGGTACTTGGACACTGGCTTGTTTCTTTGAAAATTAGTTCTTCCATGCCCTGGGACCTCTGAACCCATAACACAAATGCGGAGAGCATAGCACAACACAATGTGATATATGCAAATCTCAGCTCTAAGTTGAAAACGGTTCTACACCCCCACTTCCCAAAAGGAGTGGGTCTATTAGGCAGCTTGGCACATGCTTTCAATAGTTGATTGAGGGGGGCACACCATGGTTCTTTACTTCAGCTGGAAGTTGATATTAGTATGTGTCTGATATCAGGAATTCCACTGGAAAATACTGTAATATGGCCATTAGACAGAGCTGGGGAGCACCTTCACAAAGTATTTATTTCTTATGCTCTTCAGCTTCATCTAGCAAGAATAATGCAGTATTTTTGTGATATTTCATTAGAAAAATTATCCTAAATAGGTTTGTTTTTGCCCCCATTCACAGAGATTCGCAGGACAAATGGCTTTGAGAATATTTTATAGATACACCCCTTGGTAATGTACTATGTAGCACTAACAATATGAGGAACATTTTACTCTATCATGCAGTGCTGCTTCCTGGGCACACTTCCACAGTAAGCAAATGTGATACTAAGAAAAAGCCAATACAAACACAAGCTTATGCTGTCTGTCAGCCACCCTAAGCAAGAGGGGATAAAATAATATCAACAAATAACATTTTCATATGTAAATGCTTTGCAAACTGACCATTTAGATGTTGTGCTGCTTTGTTGCCTGCCGACATTAAGCCTGTAAAAAAAATTGAGACTTTAAGAAAAAAAAATGGCCAAACAAAAGAAAAAAAAAATCAAAACATAATATAGTAAAGTGTGCATAGAAACTTGTGATTAAAATGCATTATACCCGACTTAAAATGGCACACCAGCCATTTGTTTTTCCATATTAGTTTCAGACAGGGTGTAGACGAGTTAGAACCTCTGTCTGAATTCCATTGACTTGCTGTCCCAATGGTAATACTGCTAGAAAAAGTGAGAATTCTTTCTCACAGTTATACAACACCAATAAACACAGCTGGGCCATGAATAATTCATACACTGAACAATAAACCACAGGCAACCAGACAGAGACCCTGGTTTACAAAATGAGTAGATCATGTTTACTTCCAAAGTCAATCTCCTCTTTGAAAATGATTTAAAAAAATTAATGAAATTGTGCGGGCTTCAATCATTCAGTCATGAGCAAGCACTTCAGAGTATGCACTGTGTTGCGCTATACTCTCTGCATTTGTGTACAATAAATCAACTTTTAATATGGCTGGGTTGATCAACAGCATTCGAGAAGAGCTCCAGATAAAACATTTTTTAAGCACTTTACTGGAGAAGTTTGACGCCACCTGTGGGACTGCCCCTTATGAAAAATGTTGTGCTAAAAAAAAAAAAAGGGTAAAAGGGTACATTTAGACAGGCCTTAGCCCACACATACTCTCTACTTTTGAGCCCCTGGGACCAATTCTTCCTCCGCTTTTTCCCCCAAGTGGGAGAGAGACATCCAAACCCAATTTACACTAGCACAAAGAGATGCTATGTTGTCATTTGCTTACAGGTCCTCCATCTCAGGTAGATTTCAGGAATCTGGATATAAAATTCCAACATGCTGGTACAGGGTCCTACGATTCTACATAAAATTTGGCCGCAGGTGTTGCCTATGTGCAGGAGGTGTGACACTTTTGCATATGTTTTGGCAATGCCCTAAACATTGAACTTTTGGGGAAGAAATCTGATATCACATTTACAAACTGAAGGATGTGGATTTAGGTGACCGTCTGGCAGCCTACCCCAGCATGTATCTCCCTTTTCTCGAGTAAACACAAGTGCTCATTGCTGATACACCCAGTGAATGCATAATTCACTTCCTCCCTGGTATAAAGATCCCTGAGCGTGAACTCAGGTGCTGGGGTGGTAGCAAGTGGAGATGCCTAAATGGGCTCCCCTACCTTTCTGCTCTTAACCCCCCTTTTTCTGCTCTTCTTCCTCTTTTCCTCTCCTTTTCACTCCATTCTGTATATAGGGTCTTTTTCTCTTTCTTTTCTTCTGGTTTACTTTTCTTTTTTACATTTTAAGTACAGTAGTTTAAAAATGGACAAAGTTGTACACCATTGTGTATCTGAGCTATCCTCTAAGATCAATAGGAAGTCATTTTCTGATTTGCTTGGTTATTGAAAACAGGTCTAATGCATGACTACATCAGGTCTTGTTACGAAAGCCATAGAATCTTTCTTTGCCCTGAATAAGGCTGGGGAGGTGCTGGAGCTCGGTATGGGAGGGCCATAAGGCAGTTATTAGGGGAGAATTGATCTCAAGGGTCTCGTATTTGAATAAGGCCAGAAAGAAGGAGTTGGCTACATTATTAGAACAATTACGAGTGGCAGAATTAAAACATAAAAGAAATGGCTCATCTATAGATGAGCAGAATTTAGAGTCTTTGCGGTCGGCTCTAACTTGATTATTAGAAGAACGGGTGTGTAAAAGTGCAAGATCTATATCTCATACATTTTATAAACATGGTAATAAATGTGGCAAAATGTTGGCAAGGGCACTACAAAAACAAAGAACCCGGACTTGTATATCAAAGTTGCAAACTACTTCGGGATATATGGTCCAACATACTTCTAAGATATTGGAGGTTTTTCGGCAATATTATGCTGCATTATACAATCTGCCGGGAGAAGGATCTCCAATATCTATAGATAACAAGCGCTCATTTATACGTACGCACCTGGAGATGGAAAATAGCAAAAAAGTGTCAGCCCAGCAGGCTGAGGAGTTAGATAGGCCTATAACAGTACATAAGATCGAATCAGTGATTAAAAGCCTCCCTAACGGGAAAAGTCCGGGACCTGATGGGTTTACGAAAGCTTATTATTTAAAGTTCTTATTGCTATTAGGCCCCCAGATGTGTAGATTATTTAATAAAATTATTTCTGGAGAACCTATACTACCCTTATTTCTGTCAGCATATATATCAGTAATACCTAAAGAGGGCAAAGATCCTACTGTACCCCAAAATTACAGACCAATATCCCTTCTCAATACAGATGTGAATTTTTTTCGAAGATACTGGCCAATAGACTCAGAGGTCTCCTCCCAGCCTTGGTACATCCAGATCAAACAGGTTTCATACAAGGAAGATAATTACGCGATAATACTAATAGAGCTCTTAATCTGATTCATTGGATAGAAGCTAGTTCGGCTTCTCCACCATGTCTTTTATTGTCAACAGATGCTAAAAAGGCATTCGATAGGGTGGATTGGATGTTTATGGAGGAGACATTAAAGGTAATTGGCATAGGAGCGAATATAAGGCAGGGAATTGCAGCACTTTATAGTAAACCAGAAGCTAGAGTAAGAGTCAATGGCTTAGTATCTTCCCCATTTACTATACAAAATGGAACGAGACAAGGATGTCCATTGTCTCCTTTATTATTTGTATTAATGTTAGAACCCCTCTTAACTAAGATTCGAAACAATTCAGCCATACATGGAATTAAAGTAGGGGATAAAGAACATAAATTATAAGCATACGCAGATGATATTTTATTTTTCCTTACTCAACCACAGATATCCCTTCCTAATCTACTACAAGAACTAGGTATATATGGTAATATATCTAATTTTCGGATTAATTATTTGAAGTAAAAAATGTTGCCATTAAATGTATCTCCGGCCGTTAGTCATAGCTTGAAGTCCTCATTTACTTTTAAATGTGCCTCACAGCATTTTCGTTATTTGGGAATTGAGCTTTCAAGTTCATTGAGACAAATGTATGAATTTAATTATGTACCATTGTATACAGTGATTACTAAGGACCTTGGCTCTTGGGATAAAACCACATTTACTTGGTTAGGCCGCATAAATATCTTGAAAATGAACATTCTGCCGAGAATATTATTTTTCTTACAGTCAATACCGATTAGATTGCCGTCTTTTTTTTTTTAAACAACTACGTAGTTTGTTTTTGACATTTGTGTGGAGTAACAGAAAACAAAGGTTGTCATATGATATTTTGAGGCGCAGCAAACAAAATGGCGGCTTGGGACTGCCAGATGTCTCTCTTTATTATAAGGCTGTTGCATTACAGAGGATACTACATTGGCAGTACTATGAGAAGGATAAGCAGTGAGTTCTGTTGGAAAAATATATGGCCGGTAGAAATGTAGCTAATGCCCACTGGCTACCATCGGCCAGTAGAGGTTTGGCAGCCACAGTATCGCCCCTGACTACACACACTTTAAAGGTATGGGATACAGTAAATAAAAGGGGAGAATTGGTCCCTAATATATCCCCTTTAGCACCAATTGGTGGTTTCCCCTGGTTTATACCAGGAAGGCACTTATTATATTTTCGGACTTGGGTGGTGAATGGGGATGTTCGTTTGGGCAGATTTATGGTGGGGAACGCTCTTATCCCATTGGAGGAACTGAGGGAAAAAAGGGGCACATTGCCTTTAGATGCTTGGCGCTATCAACAACTCAGTAACTTCCTTCGGGAACATATTAGTCTAATTAGGCCACTTGGGACACAAATTATGTGATTCTAGGTCTCCCCCTAGTTGCTCTCTATCTCTTATGTATTAAATGTTATTGAAAATAAGCTCAAAAGGTTCTTTGCACTTTATGAGAGAATGGGAGAGGGACATGGGGGTGACTTTTTTGGACATACAGAAGGATCAAATACTAGCTAGCGTGGGCCCATAATTCATCTATAGATTCCAGAGTCCAAGAAACCAATTATAAGGTGCTTACCCGGTGGTATCGGGTTCCATATTCTCTAGGGAAAATTTATCAAAATGTCTCTCCTCTATGTTGGAGGAACTGTGGTCTACAGGGGACATATTTA